AATGTGACTGGGTTTGTTCTCCAGGGACTCGAACACGTGACGGCCCGTTCACCACAGAGCCTGAAAAAGAAAATAAGAGCAGGAAACGTCCCTGATGCCAAATCTGCTGTAATTTCACCCTCCTGCACAAACACGGTTACATAACACGTGCACACGCCAACGATCCCCAACACACACATGTTCAGTGAACGTGAGGCCTTCAGGGACCACAGTGGGTCAGTTGTCTTCAGTGTTGAAGCTCATGTGCAGCAGGAAAGGAAAAATAATCAGAAGAAGAAACCAACAATTACTTCAAATTGATCAAATATCATAAAGTACTTTCGTAATTAAATGACACAATTAAAACAACACTAATAAAAACTAGAACATTTGTCAAACGTTCAATTGGTTTTTCTCCCTCTTCCTTCAAAGTGATTGGTCACTGGGCTCCGACCAATCAGAGCTGGAGCGTCAGGTACAAGATGGCGGACAGCGACAAGAGAAACGATTGAAACGAGAAGAACGAAAAACATCTTGAGTTTTAAAGAGTGTTTGTTAGCGTTAGCGTTAGCATCAGCACAGAGCCGGGAGAGGACGAGGCTAACGCTAGGCTAACGCGGTGCTAACCCACAGGTGTGAGCCTGAAGACTCAGGTGAGTTTCTACTGAAACACAAACATTCACTTTGTCCATCTTTATCACCACCAGCTAGCTTTAGCTTTAGCTTTAGCGCGGCAGGGGCCTCGGCTGCTTCCGGTTCACACTCATCGGCCTTCAGATTTCAAAATAAGAGCCCTGACAGTAACACATGTCTTCACTTGGTGAAGTCGGATGTTTAACCTCTGAACTTGTCAGTTATTTATCGAAGCCACGTGGTTAATTCGTGTGTTTAGAATAATATGTGAAGGTTGAGGGGAACGTGATGAGAGTGCTGATGGTCCGCAGGTCTCACACATCGTTAACTCAATGAGGTGTTGGAGGGAAACCAGACGGGAGCTGGCTTCATGTTACCACACGTGCGGCAGGAGGAAGTCCATGTGTAGAAAGAACCTGAGGAGACACCTGTCCTTGAGCTGCAGAGCTGGGATCTGTCAAACCCGCCGACATAAGACCTGAGTCCAGGTTCAGGTCCAGTCGTCCTTGAATGTGGAGGAAACGTCAGAGTCCTCGTCGCCGCCTCGACTCTTCCTCTGTGGTTTGTTTTCTTCTCAGTAATGTCTCGGCCTTGAGCAGCGAGCGTGACCTCCCGTCGTTAAAATCGACCTTGCTGCATTTAAAACACGTGTTCGCCACAGAAACGCTGCGGGACTCAGACACAGGAACAAACCTCTGGAGTTTATCACTGAGTACATTACTGTTAAACAAACACTTCACTGCTGCAGGTCCACACTTTAAATTCCACAGTTTGTTTTACAGTCAAATGTTTCTGACTCTCTTGTGATGTCATGTTTTTAAGTTTCCTTCGGTGTCACTGAGCCATCACTTTTATTTTGAAGGAACAGTATTCAGATATAAAGCAGGATAATGTGGATCTTCTCTGTAAAAACTCCAGAGTTTCAAACAAAAGCCTGAAGCTCGACCAGAACACATCATCACAGCCGTCAGCTCAGGGGCCCACAGGGGGGCCACTGCCCTGATTACTCTGACAGACACGAAGCAGGGCCACAAAACACCAACTGATCGTTTGAGCAGATAAAGAAGGCTCACTGATCTGAACACGAAATAAAATCTATGACGTGACATTTGTTTTACTGCAGAAGAAAGAAAACTTCTTCCTGCTCCGTCACTTCGATAAATTTTAAAGACGACACATGTTTACTGATACACTTTCAATTCCCTGAACATAAAGTCCATGTTTCTAGAGGAGGAGGAGGTAGAAGAGGACAAAGAAGAAGAAGAAGAAGATGAAGAAGAGGAGGAGGAGGAGTAGTAGTAGGAGGAGGAAGAAGAAGAAGAGGAGGAGGGGGCTCTCATCTGATTGGTTCTGTAAGAGTCTGCAGATGGGCTGGTGGTCATCATGACACACGTGAACACATGATACTCAGTTACTCAAAGTTTATAGTAGTAATGTAACTAAGTACTTGCTATATTTGTACTATGTATTTTATGATTCATGTTATCTATTAATATCAATACTACATTCAGTGAATAATATAATTAAAACTCAAAAACTGAATTAGTTTTCTACTTTAAATACATTTGAATCTTTTCTAGTTTATCTTGTGAAATAAAAGTTAAGTCTACAGCTGCAGTAGTTTTACTCTGTGTTGTTAGTACTTTACGCTTGTTTGGTAACAGCTGCTAATGCTAATGTTAGACATCCAGCATTAACACTATGCAACTGTTCAATTTGTGTTTCAGGTTCAACACTGCATCAGAGTAGCACTTGGGTGCAGTGCATGCTGGGAAGTAAAGAAGGTAGGTAAATAAAGCACGGAACGATGAACACGAGGAGAAGAATCAGTGTTTGTGTTTGACTGTGATTCTCAGAAGTGAATCTGCTCGTATCTGAGTGTCTGGTTTCTGTGGTGAAATGTGCTTTCTGAAAACTGCCCGAGGACACACGAGGAAAACCCCGTTCAGGACTCATGAAGTCACCAAACCACACACTTTAGCTCCACATGTGCTTCCAGTCAAATCCATCAGAGAAACTTTAATCTGCTCCAGACTGTCCCACCCACCCCGCCTGCACACCCCCACAGAGGAAACCAACCCCCCTGCAGCAGAGGGTCACTTCAGGATGGATTATGTAACATTGACTCGTGTGTCGTTTTACAGGGTAAAGAGGAATAATGACTTTTTCTGATGCTTCAAACTCTTTTTATTCGTATTTCGCCAAATCCTAATATACATCATCTCCAGGCTCTTTACTTAAAAGCTTGAAAACAAACCAACAGTTGACTTTAACTTCTGCTGTCGCTGCAGCTTCATCCACACAACTGCTCTGTTTAACTGCAACTGAAGCCGTCTCTGTCCACATGAGTGTTTTGTCTCCGCAGTTTTAAAACTTAAACGGGTCGAGCAGCGTTTAAACTCTGGAGAAGTGTGGACACCATACGTTTCCGTAGCAACAGTGATGAGTTTTTAAACAAAGTCGTGTGGATTCAGCCTCAGAACATCAGATGTATCTTTATTGATGTTACTGACTATAGGGGGCAGTGTTTACTACCAACACTAATCTATTAGTAGAAGAAGAGACAGATGAACTGATGTTCTTTGTTTACTTTTTTTTCAGCATGCTGTGTTTTCTGGATCATCTGCAAAGTCGAGCGACGGCAGAGACGACCTCTGACCTTTGCAGGTACCAAAGACTCAGTTTCTGTTTCCTGTGTAAAACAAAGACTGAAGTGTCCAGTCAGTCATCAGCTGAGTTTAGAAACTGATCCTGGATCAGCTTCTTCACTCGCTCACAAGAAAAAGAGCAACAGAGTCAGTGGGAAAACCCTCGTGCTCCAGAGGTCACATGACCCTCGACAACAGAACCAGTAGAAGCATCAAACTGGGAACATCATCTTTTCTGTTTCTCTTCTAAATCCTCCCTCTCTACTTCGTCAGCAATTCTTGGATGCTGCTGAGCTGTTGCCGTGGTAACACTCTGTTACTCACGATGCTGCTGGATTCTCTGGAGTTTTCCTGAGTCGAGTCCAACGATGTAATGAGATGTTCCAGCTCGTTAGAGACAAACGCAGCTTCAGCCAAGATTCTGTTCTTAGTGCGATGATCTCAATTCACCTCCGTCCTGATGTTTGATGTCGTGTCACATGTTCAGGTTTCAGGTCAGAGAATCTGCGGCGCAGTGATGGTGCGATTGTCAGCTCGTCCAGCCAGCGGAGGATGAGTCAGTCCGTCCATCAGGAAACGCACACAAAGACAAAACAGCTGCTACGGCAACTGAGAAGAGTCAAACTCATCTGAACCAAACGTTGCATAACTTGGTTCCAATGAACGCGACCACGTCCAGGGTCTGTTCTCAGGAACGATGAGAAACTGAGATTTCACAGTGCGCTCGCAACAGGAGGTTGATGACGCCCCCACCAGGCTGGAGTCAGTCACTGCTCTGTAAGACCTGCAGGAGTCAACCAATGATAGCAACGACTCCTGAATCCCTGAAAACCACGAGAAAACCATGGCAATCACATGGCGCCTACCTGGAAACACACAAGCCCAGGCTACATTCATGTGACTTCTTTTAGTTTGAAAACTCATCACTGTTGCTATGGTTACACCTGGCAGAGTTTCCAGCCTCTGTTTGAGGGACTTGTGTAAACTGCTCTCGTGTTAGTTTGAAAACTCTGGTTTTTGTTTTAGTCCGAACACAAACTGAGGCTTTAGCAAGGTGGAGGTTTGAACTAATAGAAGTTAGGAATCAGCGGTGACTCCGATCAAACCTCCTGTTCTTCTTCATCCACGTGTTTGTTCTCGTCTCACCTTCATAACCAGAGTTCATTGAAGGGAAACAGAGAAATCCTGAGTGGAGGAAGATTAATGGAGCGTTCTCGATGTTTGAGCCTCGACAGCAGCTGCAGCCTGAAGTTAAAGGAGAATTAAACCGTTTTTAATAGAAGATGCAGCTGATTCTCATGCCTGCACCAGGATTCAGTCCCAAGTTTAACGTTAAGAGTTTCAGCTGGACTCTGACTCTGGGTCCTCATTGTGAGGTCAGGCCTGAAAATATTAATGACTGATAATAAAGTGAACATGTGGTCGTTAAAGGATTTAAAGAGCTTGGTCAGCGTTTCTCAAACACCAGCGCTGGGTTGACTCCATCTGAACGGATGACTGGACATGAAATGTTGGACCGTACCAACTTTGATTTAGAAATAAGTGGTTTATAGCAGCATGAGCACAAAGTAACATCAGATGTGAAAACAGTTTCATGTGAGTTTCACAGTCACACATGATAAACATGGATGAAAGAGAAGCTGAACCTCACCGGACTCAGTTTTAAATACCCAGAGATTTAAATCCTTGTGTTTACTGCTCACTAATCGGCTGCTGTAAACCATCCTCAACCAGCTCGATTGTTCAGTCATTATTTACAATAATTCATTTATTTAAAACCCTGTTGTGAGTCAACTGTAATATCACTTTACATCAGGTCATCAGTCTAAAATATATCAAATTATATGTACATCCCATATCATCACAAGTTGTCTCAATTTTCACATCAAACATCGTGATCATTGTGAATAAATGTAAAATACAAGTTCCTTCATGATAAAATCTAACTTCAGTAAAAATGTGTCAACGGCACAATGTCTGAAAAACAAAAGTACACATGATGCAGCGTTTTGTAAATGATCATAAGAAGTTTAGAATTATTTAATTATTGATTATTTTAATGAAGCTGATATCAATCAATTTTATCGAGATCATTATTTGTTTGGAGATAAAGTGAAATCTAACTTAATCTGCTTTAACACAATAATCCAATAATTCAGCTGTGTTGGTGTCATGTTCAGTGAAACAGAAGAATTCAGATTAATAAAAGCTGCAGTTCATTATATTACTTACTTCCTATAATGAGGGTTATTATTACATTATTCATCAGTCACATGCATGAGATTTAAAATAGACTAAAGGCTGCCCCCTGGTGTCCAGTTGGATTTCTGTGAATTCAGTGCATCAGTGTTGAGCAGCTGAGTAATACTTCATTTCATTCTTCGTTAAAGGTTCCTGCTGATTATTGATCATCAGTTGTTCTTTAAATAAGCTGCCGTGGATTGATGGAGCTTCACTCTGGATCTCCGTCCATGTTTGATGTTAATTTCAGAGTTCACATGTCCAGTGTTTGTCTTTGAGCAGAAGAGGTTCTTCAGGTCTCACATCTGTCACCAGTGAACTGAAAGGTTCCTACAGTTGTGTGGTGACGTACGTGTCCTCACTCAAGGATCTGTAGCTGTCTTGGCTGGTGGTCTTCTCCTTGGGCCTCTGCAAGTTGTACTTCTTGTTGCTTGAAAGTTTGATGTTGACCGGTGGCATCTTGACCGAGGAGACATACTTGACAGAGCCCGAGACAGAGTCTCTGAAGGACGGCGTTGTGGCAGTGAAGAGGATGAAAAATAGAAATCCCTGAAAGCACAAAGAGCAGGAAGATGAAGGTTGTGTCTTTATTTTGTTTGAAAAAAGCCATGAAGTGTTCAGATCAACCTAACATTGCCTGTTTGTTATTGGGAGCAGGATGAAGCAGACGTACCAGTGTGATGCCACTGATGCCGAATAAAACCCTGAAGACTGTATCGTCTGTGGTGTTGAGGATGATGTATCCAAAAGCAAAAGACAAACCCACTAACACTGCCATAGGAAAACTGGAGCTGTGGAGCACAAAAGGTCAGAGAGTTAAATGAATTGTTTCTCTACGTTCACACCACCCTCTGTCTCAACGTTTCTCTGGAATAAATTCCTTTTTTTTCTTGATTTTGGAATGATCTGCCTCAGTAGTCAGCGCTGCATTGCCATCTGCTGGAGCCTTATTGAACCAGAGACTCCCCATGCTCCTGTACGTTGTTGTATGTCTCTGACGAGCATCACATTTGTGTCGAGTTCCTCAGGTCCTCCACACTGCAGCCATTCAGTTTTAAGTCAGTCTGATCAGTAGTTATTTAGGGAACGGGTGGACAGACAGTCAACGATCATTCTCTAAAACTTCTATTAAAATCTATTTTCATCTGGTCCAAACGTGAAATGAGAAGTTCAAGTAGAATCTCAGGTTGTGAAGGACATTTAGATTTGTTCTTCTGTTGGTTAATGAAGCATGAGAAGTTGTTTGTGATTGTTATGGTCTCGGGTCATGACTCAAATTTAAATTGATTTAAATTGAATCATTACAACAAATCTTTCTAGATATTTCACATTCCAAACCTGAACCAATCAAAATTAATGACAGCTCAGTGAAATAAGTAAAAAAGTAAAAGTTTTTGGTATCAAATGCAAATCACATTCTGCTACTTCTCAATAGCTCCAAGATATTTTCTGGTAAATTCATAAAAAATCTGATTTGATTGGAATCAGACTGAAACTAGGACTTTAGTTCTTTGACACACAAACCATCTGTGGATGATGACATGTCTGTTTTTGTGTCTTACCTGGACGGGCAGGGACGTTTCCTGCACGTCCTCAGAGAGATGCGAGTCAAAATGATGAAATTGTAGATGAGGATCAAAGTGCTTGGAAGGATGAAACCCCAGAACATCGGTTTCCCAAAGTCAAAGTGTTTGTTCTTGTCCAGAGCTGCGAGCCAACAACTACAGGTTCAAACAAATCATGAATGAGAATTTGAAACTCTGAAGGTTCAACCAGACACTTAAGTAATGTTCAAATAGAAATGAGTGAAAATAATCACGAAGGACCCACAATTCCTCTTGTCTGTACGCCAGAGGATTGTCCGGGCGATAGGTGACAGCCAGTGTGATCCCCACGACAACGGCAGGGAGTCCTGAGACAACACAAAGTTCAACAACTGTTTAAAAGTTTTCTGCAATTTAAATAACGTATTCAGTCGTTCTGTTGAAGAGCCTCATCTGGTTGCCATGGTAACATCATGATGGTATTGCTAGCAGCATTACCACCTTCAGGCACAGTACTTCACAGTACTACAGTACTCCTCAGTACTACCGTATTCCACAGTACTACAGTACTCCTCAGTACTCCTCAGTACTACCCTACTCCTCAGTNCAGTACTCCTCAGTACTACCCTACTCCTCAGTACCACAGTACTCCTCAGTACTACCCTACTCCTCAGTACCACAGTACTTCACAGTACTACAGTACTCCTCAGCACTACCGTATTCCACAGTACTTCACAGTACTACAGTACTCCTCAGCACTACCGTATTCCACAGTACTACAGTACTTCACAGTACTACAGTACTACAGTACTTCACAGTACTACAGTACTACAGTACTTCACAGTACTACAGTACTACAGTACTTCACAGTACTAGAGTACTCCTCAGTACTACGTACTCCTCAGTACTCCACAGTACTACAGTATTCCACGGTACTCCATAGTACTACAGTACTACAGTACTCCACACTAGTTCAAATGCACCAAATGAACGACCTTGTGGTTCAAACATTATATCGTCGGAGGTGAAGACTGCAGGAGTCTGAAGTTCTGAAACAAACCAGGCGTGGAGAGTCCTGAAACCAGGTTTTTGTTAGTAGCTGCCTGAGCTGTGCGGCAGCGCGTCTACGTATGACATCACAATCTGTGTCCTAAGATGTGAATTACTCCTCTAATGACGTACCCCATCCGAGAGTAAAGCTGAGTTTAGTCCAGTACTGAGGCGGTCTGGAGTCCTTCTGCAGCTTCACCATCAGATGACCATACAAGCTGATCCACATGAACGTCGCCAGCAGGGAGAAGTGGAGCAGAATAGCCACCAAGGTACATGACATGCGGTCCGGTTCCTTGTGTTCGTCAGTGGATGGAATGTCGTTGGACTGGGTGACGATCGGGAACTTATCGTCCGCTTTTTCTGACTGAACAGCTCCAGAGAGGAAGCTGATGATGAAGCTGAGCAGGCTGCTGCAGATGCTCAGGAGGGCGACCTTTACCTCCGGGTTCTTCTGAAGTGACTTCCTTTTCAAAATCAAGAACATGAGGTTGATAGAAATTACAAAATAGTCATTATGCAAGAATGAAGTTGTTTGAGAACAACGTAAAATGATTATTTAAAAGTATAAAACATTTGTTTCATAAAGCAACAAGTTTATTCTAAAATGTCCATCTGATGTTTTCTTTGTATAACTGAATTCTAGTGGTAGAAGAAGAATCAGGTCGTTAAGTAAAGGTGAAAATAAGTTTGACCGTTGTGTCAGCAGCAGGATGTCGCTCATCACAGATTAATCATTGATGAACCTACGTCAACACGGAACTTACTTGTCTTTTATGACACTGATGACCGTCACAACCAAACCAAGGACTGAGACTGAAGAGCCTAAGATTGAAATCAAACCCAGATCCTCAGCGTACTTGTAAATCTCTATGAAGGTCTGAAACACAATCATCTCATCATGTTAAATTATTTCATCATCATTCAAATATAGTGGAGTTTAGTTTGAAACTGGAGAACGTGTCGATGCACAGTCGTGACACTCACCAGGAGAGCGGCGAAGTTGGTGGTGTGATTGCAGAAACATCTCATGGCGCCGTCTGAGGCATTTTCTTTGGAGCAGCCGGCGGTGCTCCAGTCTTCTAAAGTGTAGTTCCAGGAGACGCAGGCGAAATCGTACAGAGACGTCCCGTCCTTTAACTGAAATAGAGGATAACAGTCTTCTACTTTATTTCGCATTTTTTAAGATTGTCTGGGTCCGACTCGTCCACAACAACAGGAACATGTGGGGACATTCAGACGAGGGGTGGAGCCTGTAGAGCAGCAGGAGGCGGGACATGACGTCTAAACTCTGCTGTGTAAAGATCAGTGTTGTTGTTTACAGCTCGTCCACACAGCGTCGGCCCTCTTCACCAAAACATCTGGAACCTCCTCGTCTTTCCAAGCTGAGGTCTTCTACGTGTACGGCTCCTCTTCTTCATCCTGAGACATTTGTGTTCTTCAGTTTCACGTCCACTCGCTCACTGGGAAGCTTCCAGAGGTTTTCCTGCTGTTTTCTCTCATGGACTCACTCTGACATTTTACAGATGTTTAACTAGGAGGCTGCAGGAGAAGATCCAGAACATGTCCAGAGACACTGAATCAGACCTTTGTCCTCACATACAGAACCTCAGTCAAACAGTTTTTGTCTGTTATGGATCCAACATGGCTGCACCAGATATTCTTATGGTTTTACTTTCACTATAGATAGTAATCGTCCAGCTGATTAAAGACGCCATAAATGACCATAAATCGTTCCAATGGAATACACATTAACCTCTCACTCAGTTTTTGTCTGACCTGTCATAAAGACATTTGTCTGAGGATAAGATACTGAGGTGAAAGAGTCACCATCTTCAGAAACCGGAGAAATGAGAATATAGAGCAACTTTGGGTCTGTATTCAATCATACTTGCACCTTCTCCATTATTCATTTCCTCTGAGGAGCATCGTCTGGCTTTTCCGTCCCTTCTTACGAGCCAATCACAGACCAGACTGCTCTGCTGTGTGATTGGTAGATGGTTCAACAAGCTGTTAGATGATATCAGAGAAGGTGCGTCGCTCTTTATCTTCAAGAAGCTCTTGAATTTACTTGGTTTCACCATCAACGATAAGACACATGAGGAATAAGGTTTTCTTACCGTTGGTGTGAACATCATCTCCACATGCTGCGGCACCACTCTGTGCCTCTGTCCTGTGACGCTGGCCGACAGGACCCTGATGGTGGTGTGACGTCTCTTGTAGAGCGCCGACCTGAAAAAACGATCGTTCTGGTAGAGGACAAAACCCACGGAGATGTGTGACTGCTTCTGATTTCTGTCTGCAGCATCTTCAGAAACAAATTCGCATGTTAGTCACACAGCACACGGCAGAGTTGAGACTGTTGTTTCACTTGAGCCTGACAATAGTTACAGTGTCTGCTGATATGTGACTCTGTGAAATGTCTCCAGTGCAGAGGACTCACCTGGTGGAAACTTTATGTATATCAGGGCGTCGGCTTTGAACCCGTTTTCCACCACAACGGTTGACGTGTTGGTGTTCAGCTGAATCCGATCAGGTACAAAATTGCCAGATGTTCCTGAAACAAGACGACAGATGTTAGTGATGATTAAACAAACTTAACACACGTCCAGGTAGCTTTGGGGTGGGGCTTGAAGATGCTGAAGATGCCTGATTGGTTGAGAACTATGGTGTGTTATTTCAGTCAACAGCTCGTAGAATCAGCTTCTTGATTTCAAGTCGATCATTTCTGGTGTTTTAAATACACTTTGTTCCTCTTCTCTTTTCTGATCAACAGCTGCTGGATCTGAATCTCCATGTTTACCGCTGTGTTGCTTGGTTTATTTAGCGACATTAACAATGTTAGTCTTCTGCGTTGCCACCACCTGGTGGACTGGATTAGAATTAATCTCCCCAACCTAACCCAGTGGAAACGCAATCTAACAACCATCTGGAACTTTTGAAGCAGAATCAGTTTGTCACTGACCTGTGAGCGACGTGAACTGGACTCCTTGAGTGTCGGCAGCAGCCACTTGAGTCGACTGCAGCACCAGGTTCGGTTGAACCATCTGAGACCTGGACGTTCTCAGGTCAGAGCTGAGACTCAGAGACAGCTGATCCAGAGTCAGCGTCAGGCTGCACATTAAAAATATGAGAATAAAACCCTGGAGCTCAAGTCAAATACCAACTGAACCCAGCGTGTTGGTGATTCATGTTGAACTCTGGACCTCCAGACTCTCATCTACAGATTTAGCTTAATGTTTCTGTGACCATCAGCTTCAAAATCCAAGAAAGAGGAAGCCACAAACAAACCCTCGAAACATATACATATATTTGACTATATTTTATATAGCTTTGTGTGATAAGAAATCTTTGTAGAGAAAAGTTAGTTGACCTCAGAGTGGCGTTGTTTTCCTCGGCGTTGTCCAGAGTGCTGGCGTTGAGCAGCTGACTGACTGTGGCTATTGCTGACATCCTGACACTCTGCAACACAAACAGTAGTTGAAAATATCCCGTAACTCTAGATGTTTGAAACTCAGATAAAATCCTGTGTCTTTTGTTTAAAGCGATGGTTGATACCTCTGTGGCGTTTGGAGACAGCAGCAGTGTGTTGGCGATCTCAGCGGCCGCCGTCACGTCTTCAGTCGTCAGCTCTTCAGGTCTGGACGTCAGAATTTGAGCGCTAGTCGCTAACATCTCAGGATTTCCCACAGTGGTGAGCTGAGAGACAAAAGACATCTGTAAGTAAAGATGGACCACATGACGGCTCCTCAAAGTGAAGCCAAATCATCTTAATCACCCCCCTGGTGGCTGACGGCAGTACAGCTCATTAACCCCTCCTCCTGTTAGCAGATGGGACAATATCAAACAGAGAAAACCAAAGCAGAAATGAAATATGTTTGTCAAAGATGTTCGTTCTTCTCTCACTGATGTTTGTTCAAGTGTTTCTGATCAGTTTGGTTTGAATCAGTTATTTGATGAAACATAAACAGGCTGAGTCGTCATGATTGACAGCCGACACTGATCCGATCACTGAAGCACAAACTGACTCAATAGATGTCGTCAGCACAAGATGGCGGCGATCATATCTGAGATAGTTTCACTTTATTTCTACGTGGTCATGTATGGTCATTGGTCGTCTTCATATGCTGGACGTTCACACCTGATAGTTTAAAAAACGTTTGAACTGTAAAAACTATTTCATACATTTTGCAGAATGTCGCTGAGCGTCTGGTCACACCGGAGAAGCTGTGGCTTTTGGAATCCCAGTAATCCATTGTTGTTGGAACATCTGGTGGCACCCTGAGGTTTTCCAGCTGCATGGAAAAACTCACCAGTGTGTTACGATACAACTACACTGTAATACCATAATATATTTTTGAAACTCACCAGCGCTGGTTCCTTCGGCACAGACTTCCTCAGAATACGAGAACCAGCTAACAGGTGTGCGTGGGAATTTGAGTCCTTCTAGAATAGCGGCTCTGCAGAAATTTGCTAAGTGGAAACATTTGATGGAGCTGATGTCAACAGTTTGAATCCACAGTTAAAAAAACACAGTAAAAGAAGAGTGAAAGCTCCCACAAGCTGTAATATTCAGTTAAATCCAAAGTGTTGGTCAAGTAAACGAGTTCGTTTGTTAAATCTCGTTTTCTAATTGATCCTAATCGTACCTTCAGAGCACGTGTCTCCGCCCCAGTCGTCACCACAGAGGCAAACTCCGTCCGATAACTTCCCTCCATTTTCACACA